ATTCTTACTTTAAAAATCATTACCATTATCATATGTAATATCGCCTATCATCATGTAGATTACAATATAATTTCATTATTTTTGATTTCATAGGAGATTTCTGGACATATTTAGCAATGCCTGCACAAAATCTGTGGTAATTGTGTGGAAAACAAATTTGGATGACTTTTGCAGAAGTTACAAAAAAAAAATCAAACTGTGTGTTTAACTGAGTGTTTAACCAGCATTCTTAGTAAACAAACACACCACGGTACGAGCTTTGCAAATGATGAGCAAATTTAGCAGAAATCTGTGGGCAGACCTAGAAATACACAAACAATTTTCAGCAGAGTTTTCCATATGCTGCAGAATAGACATGATGAATCACAGTCCATCCTCCTGCCAAATGACACCAGAATTAAACTCACACCTGCTGAAACCAGAGATCACGACTCTGCGTCCTGTAATCTCAACTGATCAAATCCACCTTGAGCTTGTTTCTGAACCACCCGTTACGCGAGTCTAAAGATGGCAATGTCTCGATCTCCTGTTTGACTAATTGGGCTCCTGTCTGACAAAAACTGCACCATGAAATCCAAACAATAGACATGTTCAAAACGTATTGCTTGAAACACACCTCAATCCAAAACTGGACAGCCTTTCCTGTAAATAACCCTTGAAAATTAGCCAAGTGGGTGTTCCTTAGTTTTGTCATTTTTTTAATTAAACTGTTCTTTTTTATTATTTATATGACATGATAGAGTACATTATTTACTTTTTAATAATCACTGATAAACCTTTAAAGACAGACCTGTTGTAAGCTCAGAGGTTAATTTTAATTGTATGAGCGTTATGTTGAACCCATCTGTTTAACTTTAATTAAACTTGTTATTAAAGTAATTGCTTAAAAGTGGAATTCCTGCAAAAAAAAAAAACTACATTACCCATGATGCAGTGCAGAGAATTTACTAATCAGAGAGCTAAAGCGAGATAAGTGCAATAAAAAGATGGCAACACCTTAGTTTATGTAACAATTCTCACTATTAGCTTGTAGATTATTACCTATTAAAATATTGGCTGTGTATTCATACTTATAAAGTACATATTCTGCACGATCTTATTCTACATCTCTAATCCCACCAGTACCTACTATATAAACAACTATTAATATGCACCAAATTAATGAATTGCAAAAGTCAGTGCTTATTAATACTGAGATTTGTACTTTAAAATAAAGAGTGACCAACAATATATTTAGTTCTGTCTTTATGAATAATACTGAAAACTCTTTATATTTGTAATTTTGTATATGAATATTTTGCACTAAACTTTAATTGTATATTTTATACAGAAACAACCAGCAACTTTATTTATATATCTGTCTGTCTGTCCGTTCATCAATGAATTTCAAATCCAGTCCATCCATCTATCCTTCCATTCATCCATCCATCCATCCATCCATCCATCCATCCATCTATCCATCCAACCATCAATGAATGTCAAATCTAATCTATCCATCAATGAAAGTCAAATCCAATTTGTCCATCAATCCATCCAGTCATCCATCCTTTAATAAATGTAAATTCCAATTCATTCATCCATCATCCATAAATGAATGTCAAATCCAATCTGTCCATCCATCCATCCATCCATCTATCCATCTGTCCATCCATCCATCAATAAATGTCAATTCCAATTCATTCATTCATCATTCATAAATGAATGTCAAATCCAATCCATCCATCCATCTATCTATCCATCCATTCATGCATCCATCCATCAATGAATGTCAAATCGAATCCATCTATCAATCAATAAATGTAAAATCCAATTCATTCATCCATCTATTCATCAATGAATGTCAAATCTAATCTATCTATCCATCCATCCATCCATCCATCCATCCATCCATCCATCCATCCATCCATCCATCCATCCATCAATGAATGTCAAATCCCATCCATTCATTCATTCATCAATGCATTTCAAATCCAATCTTTGCAACTATCCATCATTAGATGTCAATTCCAATTCATTCATCCATCATCCATAAATGAATGTCAAAGTCCATCCATCCGTCCATCCATCCATCTGTCCATCCATCCATCCATCCATCCATCCATCCGTCCGTCCGTCCATCCATCCATCCATCCATCCATCCATCCATCCAAAGTTTGTAATGTATCTCTCATTTCTGCTGGTTTGTTTCAAGCTTATAAGACATTTTCATAATCCTTATGGGAAAATGAATGGGAAAAATATTTTCAGAAGCAGTGGGCGGGATTAATGCACTTTATTGGCTGATGAGAATGTGTGAGCTTAATTGCTACCATTTGAGTGGCTGATTCAGAATAAACAAGGACAATAATCAAGGAACACATTCTACTTGGCTAAATTAAGTTGAATGGAAACTCGGCTTCATTTCAACAGACTTTCTTACAAAGTCAGTCCATTTTTAAACCCCCCCCCCCCCCATCATTTTGCTGACCTTTTTAAAAATGAAAGTCTGTGCTTCATCATGTTCCAGGAGTGTGAAATCATGTTTTTTTTTATTATTTCATTTCGGCAGTTTACTCAAAAACTAAACTCTAAATCAACTCTGCTCAATATCAATAATAACCGCTGAACAAAACCTCCTCTGAGGTCTCAGAACAACCTGACGAAACACACACAATGAGGTCTTCAGCGAAGGAGACAAACGGGGGGAATAAAAAGCACAGTTTGCTACCTCACTGATTCTTACAAATGAGAAAATGTCAAAAGCACAACAGCAGTAAAAAAAAACAAAAAAAAAAACAACAACATTCACTGCACTATTTCATTTGACATCTTTACTGCGAAACCATCCACGACGTGTGAGTTTTGATATTTACTTGGAAAAGGTCATTTCAGTTCTTGAGAGTGCTTGGATCTTTGAAATCATATTTGACGACTTCATTTATCGCTCAGTGCTTTCCCCTTGACTACAAATAAATAAACTGCACAGTTACAAAGAGTTTAATCCAGAAGTGTCATGAAAGAAACAGCTACATAGATCCTCCAGATACGTCCTGCGGTAATTCAGTGTCCATTGAAGTCCAGTTTGGTCCACAATCTGGAGTTTCTGTTTCTCAGTTTCTTTCAGACTCTCCTGTTTTGAGGTTCTTGGTTAGTCGAGGGGTTTGAAGTTTGTGCTTTTTGAGATTTGTGGCAAACGGGCCTCTGTGACATGTAGGTCCATGTGGCAAAGGCATGTACTACGTTTCCCATTATGCACATCCTCGCAGTGGTCTGTCCTATGGTCAGTCTCTGTTAAAAAAAAAACGCATAAAGAATTAGATAGAGCAAAATAATGGTTAGGTTATGCATCATTGATTAATAAGTTATTTATTTATTTATTTATTTTTTAACTTTTTATTTAAGATTTTACGAAAAAAAAAAAAAAATTCAGAACCACCCCTTCCCCAACAATTTAACCCATTACAGATGAGGGAATCAATAATAAAAAAAGAAAATATATAAATATTAAAATAAAATACGAAAAATAAAACAAAATAATTAAATAATAAAGTACTGCCATTATAAATACTTTTCCAGGGGATAAATTTGTACATCAAGTTACTTTGTATTACATTGTAGTTCTGAGTTCAATTCAGATTACATTAGTGATAGTTTAATTAACCTCTAAATGAACACATCTCAACCTCTTCAGAAAATATTACTGGAAGTTATTTATTTATTTATTTTTGTATTTTATTGAACCTTTCAAGAACAAACACAGAGAAACAAACACACACACACACACACACACCCACACACACACACAAATACACACACATGCCATCGAAATCCCTTACAGTGAGTCAATGAGCTAAGCAACAATGACAACATAGTTTAGTGGTTGAGTTAATAAGTAATTTTTTAATCAATAAAACAATATTTATTCATTCATTCAATTTTCTTTTCGCCTTAGTCCCCTTATTAATCTGGGGTCGCTACAGCGGAATGAACCGCCAACTTATCCAGCATATGTTCTATGCAGCGGATGCCATTCTAGCGGTAACTCATCACTGGGAAATAACCATACCCACACTCTTTTACACACATACACTATGGTCAATTTTAGCTTACCCAATTCACCTATAGCGCATGTCTTTGAACTGAGGGGGAAACCGAAGGAAACCATCAGGGAGAACATGCAAACTCCAAACAGAAATGCCAACTGACTATTAAATGTAATACATTTATTATTAGGCGCAGTGGGTAGCACAATCGGCTCACAGCAAGAAAGTCGCTGATTTAAAACTCGGCTGGGTCAGTTGGCATTTCAGTGTGGAGTTTACATTCTCTTCCTGTGTTTGCGTGGGTTCCCTTCGGGTGTTCCGGTTTCCCCCACAAGTCCAAAAACAAGTGGTATAGGTGAATAGGGTGGGCTAAATTGTCCGTAGTGTATGTGTGTATGTGTGTGTGTGTGTAAATGAGTGTGTATGGATGTTTCCCAGTGATGGATTGCAATCACTGCGTAAAACATATGCTGGATAAGTTGGCGGTTCATTCCGTTGTGGCAATGCCAGATTAATAAAGGGACTAGGCTGAAAGGATAATAAATAAATTAATACTTATAAGCAATCTATACTAACAAACAGTAATTTTTACAAAAAAAAACCCTAATTATTTAATTTAATTATTATATTACAGATTATTTCATTAGTTTAAAAGTATTTCATTCATTCATTTTCTATTCAGCTTAGTCCCTTTATTAATCCGGGGTCGCCACAGATCATGCAAACTCCACACAGAAACGCTAACTGACCCAGCCGAGGCTCGAACCAGCGACCTTCTTGCTGTGAGGCGACAGTGCTAACCACTGTGCCACTGCATCGCCATTAGTTTAAGAGTAGAAAAAATATAATATTATAATAAATATTTAAATTAAAGTGTTATGTTAATTATATAATCAGCTTTATGTGAAAATAAAAATGTTTTTGTCTTTAATAGATTTAATCTGTTTATTTTGTTAAATATCATGGAAATATGAAACCTTATCCTAATTTACATTCCATTCTGGTTATTAATAAATAAAAAAATAAATAAATATGGACGTCACAGTGGCACAGTGGGCAGCACGATCACCTCACAGCCAGAAGGTTGCTGGTTCGAGCTGGTCGCTGGCCCCGCTGGGTCAGTTGGCATTTCTGTGTGGAGTTTGCATGCTCTCCCTGTGTTTTTGTGGGTTTCCTCCAGGGGCTCCGGTTTCCCCCACAGTCCAAGCACATGCGCTATAGGTGAATTGAATAAGCCAAATTGGCTGTAGTGTATGTGTGTTTGAAAAAGTGTGCATGGGTGTTTTCCAATGTTGGGTTGCAGCTGGAAGGGCATCCGCTGCATAAAACATATGCATGAATGAATAAATATGTTTAGTGGATAAAAATATTTTACACACGCTCATACACACATGTTTGTTTTTGTGAAAAGTAGGGACATTACATAGGTTTCCATTCATTTTATACTGTCCAAACCGTATATTTTATTGCCCTCACCCCACCCCACCCCTTAACCCAACCATCACAGGAGACTGTGTGCAGGTTTACTCTCTGATTAAACTCATCCTGTAGGATTTATATGCATTTTGAGAAATGAGGACGTCACCAATGTCCTCATATTTCACCTCCTTTTTGTAATAACTGTGTCATACCCATGTCATTATACAGATCTGTGTCCTGATATGTCACAAAAACACGTACACACACATACACACACACAAATTCTTAATTTTGATAATAAAAACTAACATCCATATAATGACATATTACACATCATAAATAATTATATAAATAATAAAAATATTAACAGTTATTCTTTTTTTTCACTTCTGGTTCATCTTTGGCAGATAATGGTGTGAAAATGCGTCTTCCTGCCCTCCTGTCTGCTCTGTCGCAGGATCACCCATCTGACAGATAATTATCCCACTGTGTTGCACGCCGTTTCAGGATTAATTGGGCAAGACCTGGACAAGCCACCTGACTGGAGGCTGTCTTCATTTCATTATTTAACAATTCATCACGAACAGATGCACATATCTTAGTCTTACACTATCAGACGTTACACTATCATACTAATTACTGTCCATTTAGAGAGAAAGAAGCCATTTAATTGAAATCCAAGATTTTTTAATGCTTCTAGAATTTTTAGAGGTTAAAATGGACAAGATGTAGAACTAAACAGGTGTTAGATGTGCAGAAACACCTGAAAGGAGAATGCAAAAAAATAAAACCCAGACTTACTAGAAATACATGCCTCAGCCTACAGCAAAATGTCAAATGGGTACATTTTGTTGCACGTTTCAGATGATGAGTCCACTAGAGGGCGATGTCTACATTTTTCTGAATCTGAAATGCATTGCTTGGGGTGCATTTGTTTGTCAAAAATTCAGATTTTTGAGTCTAAAACTACTGATTAACAACAATTCTTTTATTGTTTTGCTGTTAAAATACACAAATTTAAACATTAATACATTATACATTTTTTGACCTCGAGAAGCATTGATCTCTAATTTATTTAAAGGAAACAAGAGAAACTAGAGTTTACCCTCAAAGCCTGCTGTATCTTGTTTGAAAAAGAAAGCAATTTTGGGAGTAAATCCTAAAGCCTTTGTGTTGTTTGATGGCTATTTAAACATACGGATGTAGTGTTTGTGTTTATGTATGTGTGTGTGCATGCACTTGTGCGTTTGTGTGTTTGAGAGAGAGAGAGCCAGAAAGAAGGCCACACAACAACAGATGTATATATACAATGTATGCACACTGTTAACGATTTTGTAAATAAACACTAACTGTAATATGAACTGTATTTTACTGTAGGACAATTATGCGGTATGTTACTGTATGTTAAAGTTGCATTGTGAAAATTACTGTATATTTTACAGCAAAGATATACATACAATTCTGTAAAGACATAGAGTAAGATAAATGGTGGTGTAAATGTAAATACAGTATTGTTGCTGTAATTTAATTTACAGTAAGTCACTGGCAAACTGCTCACAGTAAGATAATGTAGATTATACAAGAAAGTGGTAACAGTGTAGTTTAGTGAATGATACTATGGAGTCAATCTAGGGCCAAGTATACTTGCAAAATAAAAGAAAGTTTTGCAAACAAAAAATATAAAAAAAAGCAAAAATTAATTTTTTAGAAAAAAAATTAGTTTTTATAACAGTAATTGAAAACTGCAAAGGAAAAAAAAAAGTTTTGAGAAATAAAAATTCAATTTGCAAACAAACAAAAAAAGAACTGCAAAAAAAATAAATAAATAAATAAATAAAATATTTGCTATAAAAAAAAACTATATATATTTTATGCCTTTACAAAACCCGTCCAGTCAATTGCAACGCTCATTTTAATCTGTTTTTAACTAACCTACTACAGGACCTACTGAGCTGTAAAACCATCTCAATGATAGTGTCTCCAGGTGATGACATTGCTTAAATTGAGGCAGGTCCAGCCTTCCGTAAACGCCCAAGTTTCCTTGACTCCGCCCCCTTGTCAAATCAGGACCACAAAGTGAAACACGAAAAAACCTTGAAGCACAAAGTCAAATCAGCATCGCAACCTTACAGTTGACTAAAAAGCTAGTCAAAATAAACATTGCAATTGACTGGCGGGTTTTGTAAAGGCAATGCTATAAAAAATGTTTTGCAAATATATGTAGTTTTTTTTCATTGCAGATATTTTAGTTTTTTTTTTTTTTGCACTGCTTGATTTTTAATTTTTTCTTTTTGTTTGCAAATTTTAATTTTATTTCTTAAAACATAATTTTCCCTTCGCAGTTTTTAATTTTTGTTAGCAAAGTCAATTTATTTTTGATTTGCGATTTTTGGAGATTTGCATTCATTTATTTATCTTTGGTCAATACTTAATTTTTTGTTTGCAAAACTTTCTTTTATTTTGCAAGTATATGTGGCCCTAGATTGACTCCATAGGATACTCATGTGACCTTCTGTAGTTAAAAAATGATTTGAATGCGCGTTTCATCACATGTGACATCACACACCAGACCGGCACATTCTATTCGCAAATACTATATTGTTTTTCAGTGTAAAACTATGCAGAGGGCGCTCTGTATCGTGGTGTGAATTTGAACAGTGCAGCATTTTATTCAATTTACAAGCTTCTCAAAATGTCATTGGCTTGCTTTTCTATTAAATTAAGCAATTGCCGAACCGCGAGACCCCGTAGGTCTGTTGTGCAAAACACTACATGAAAGTAATTAGTAATACCTTAGTAATACCTAATTTGTCCCTGTAAATATCA